TTCTCTCTCACTAGTGGTTTAAAACCAGTTTGGAAGCCTGATGTGTTGGGATCCCAAACTACATATACCATTTCTGAGGTGCTGCCTTCCTCTGTTCTTCAAAGATGGCTCACACCCACTTCCTATACTTACCTGCAGGAAGACGGGAGGATAAAAGGGCATGCTTTTCTCCATTTACAGGCGAGACTCAAAAATTGCAGACACTATTCTGCCATGACTTCCCACGCTCACCCCTAAACAAGGCTCACCCAAGGTCTGGCCTGCCTGCCTCTGCAGCCCCTCATCTTGAGTTGCTCCACTGGCTGCACCGGCACAGCAGCCACACTGTGGCGCTCTCCACCCCTCTGCGCTGTGCACTTCCAGGACCCTGCCTGGCGGGCTCTTTCCACCCTCATCCCCTTCACCCAGACTGCACCCATGTTTTTCCTCTGCAAAACCCTTCCTGGTGTCTCCTTCACTTCTCAGTCACACCCCCCTCTGCCAGTGCATTATTATGTCGAGTATTATATCTACCATATCATGCATTTTTTAAAAAATATATTTTATTGATTTTGTACAGAGAGGAAGGGGGAGAGAGAGAGAGAGAGAGAGAGAGAGAGAGAGAGAGAGAGAGAGAGAGAGAGAGAAACATTTATGAGAGAGAGTCATCGATCAGCTGCCTCTTGCACACCCCCTACTGGGGATATGCCCACAACCAAGGTACATGCCCTTGACCGGAATCGAACCCGGGACGCTCTATCCATTGAGCCAAACCGGTTTGGGGCCATATCGTGCATTTTAATAGCTCTGAAATCAGAGGGCGTCTGCAATGGGCAGTGACTAAAACCTTGGCTCTAGTGAAACCCAGACCTCTGAGAGAGCATTTATTTCTGCTTTTCCCAGGCAGTACTGTGTGGATGGCAGCCTCTAAGATGAGCCTCAATGACCCCTGCCTCTGGGTATTCATGTCCTGTATGTCTCCTCCCCTTGAGACATTGATGAGAGGAGCATCCATTGGCTGCCTCCTGCACCTCCCCACTTACTGGGGATCGAGCCTGCAATCCCAGGGGGTGGACGGGCTGAAAGGTGTGTGTGTGTGTGTGCCCTGACCAGGAATCCAACCTGCGACCTCTTGGTTCCAGGGTTGATGCTCAACCACTGAGCCATACTGGCTGGGTAAGAATTATTATTTTTTTTAAGAGTCTAACTTATCCATCCTTTTCTTTTTTGGCTTTTGGGTGATGTGTCCTGTTAGGATAGTCATTTGAAGAAAGCCCCTAGTTTAAGAGCTAATTAAAAAGGAAAAGTGGCGGGGACTCTTTCCTCTCCCCAGGTGGGAGTCTATGCTGTGAGATTCTTTCCCTCTCCCCACGCAGGAATCTGTACTTGTTCTTCAACAAATTTCCATTTTTGCAATATATATATATATATATATATATATATATATATATATATATATTTATATGGAAAAGTGGCAAGCTTCACCCCACTTCTGCAAGAGAAACAACAATGAACAGTGAGAAAGACTTGCCCAGTTTTTCTCTGGATCCATAGCTTAGGAGAGGGGGAGCCTACAGCTTCACTGCTCACTGAGTGTCTTTATTTGAATTTCTGGCAAACACATCAAATTCAACAGAACTAAAACCCAGACAACCTTTTCCCTCAAATTAGGACTTTAGGACTTTCCTATTTCTGACAGTCTCATGAATCCAAACTCAGAGGTCTTCCCTGTGTCCTCCCGTCATCCCTCCTGTACCTAGCCAGAAGCTGACATTCCTCACCCTTCCTGTTCTCCCTATTCCACATCCTCATCCCTCAAATCTGAATTGTCACTATAGCGTCTCCACTTCTCTGGTTGCTACTTGCCAATATCCTCATCCTGCAAGGAAGTTCTCAGGGATTCCCCCACCACCACCACCATTATCACTTTACACTAGGGGTGTCGAACTCAATCAGAGAAGGGGCCAAAATCTAAAATCCAGCCTAAATCGCGGGCCGAATGGTTTACTGAACAGTCATAAACTGTCATTGTGATGGAAACGCAGCGGAGTGCAGTGATGACAGCGAGGTGCGGGCCACATTGCAAGGCCTGGCGGGACGGATTTGGCCCGCGGGCCTTGTGTTTGACACATGTGCTTTACACTGTTCATTATATATATATATATATATATATATATATATATATATATATATGGTGTTATTTAAAAATATGTACAAACATAAAACTAGACATTAACTTATTATCCTTAGAGCCCCATCTGACTCTCAAACCAAAACAAACTTACAAGTCAAAGACAAACAAAAGCATAAAACCAATAAAATTCACATTACCGTTTAGTGCCAGATGCTAACCCTGTTGCCATGGCACCGACGGCCTTCTGGAATTCCATGTGCTTGCAGTGTTATGGGCCCTGGTGGGCAATTTTCTACTCTTCTCTTGGTACTTCTGTGAAACCTTGGTTAACATGGTCAGTCACCAGGAAATTGCGCCTTCACTTTAACATAGATGCATCATGTATATATTAATTCCTCCTCTACACTTTTCTCCTCGGCTTGTGATAAAGGAATTTGGTTCCGTAAATATAGACACAGATATGGATAATGAATCCAAGACATCATAGGGGAATACACAGCTATAAATGGACATCTAGATAAGTCTGAGCTTTCTTAGATTAAAATGTTAAATTGATAGCATTATTCACACTAGAAAAAAAAAAAGGTAAGCAATCCAAGTGCCCATCAGCATGTGAGTTTGTGGTGTATACATACAAATGGAATATTATTCAGGCTTAGAAAGGAATTCCTGCCACATGGATAAACCTTGAGAATATAATTCTAAGTGACATAAGAACAATACTAAGATTCCACTTATGTGAGTTGCTTAGACCAGTCAAATTCACGGAGACAGAAAATAGATTGGTAGTTACCAAGGGCTGGGGTGGGGTTGGCGGATGAGGAGTTAGTGTTAATGGATATAGAGTTATAGTCTTACAACATGGGAAGTGTTCTGTGGGTAGATGTGGTGATGTACAAGGTGAAGGTACTTAACATCATTGACTTCTACACTTTAAAAATGGCCAAGATGCTGTGGTACAATGGAATACTATGCAGCAATAAAAAAAGAAAAAAACCTCTTACCATTTGCAGCAGTATGAATGGGTCTGGAGAGCATTATGCTAAGCAAAATAAGCCAGTCAGAGAAAGGTAAGTATCACATGATCTCACTCATATGTGGAACCTAATGAACCAAATAAACTGACCAACAAAAACAGGCCCAAGGGCATAGAAGCATGAACAGACTGTTGAGCCTCAGCGGGAAGGCAGGGGAGGATGGGTGGGAAGAGATCAACCAATGTACTTGTGTGCATATAACCATAACCTGTAGACACACATTGGGGTGGTGAGGGCCTGGCGGTGGGCTGGGAGATAGAAGCAGGCTGGAAGAGGTTAAGGGGCCGGGTGGGGGGGCGAGGGAGAGGAAGACCTATGTAATACTTTCAACAATACTTTAAAAAATATATTTTATTGATTTTTTACAGAGAGCAAGGGAGAGGGATAGAGAGTTAGAAACATCGATTAGAGAAAAACAGATGAGAAACATCAATCAGCTGCCTCCTGCACACTCCCTACTGGGGATGTGCCCGCAACCAAGGTACATGGCCTTGACCAGACTAGAATCTAGGACCCTTCAGTCTGCAGGCCGATGCTCTAACCATTGAGCCAAACTTGTTAGGGCTCAACAATATTTTTTTTTAACTTTTTTTTTAAATATATTTTATTGATTTTACACAGAAATTAAGAGGGACAGAGTTAGAAACATTGATGAGAGAGAAACATCGATCAGCTGCCTCTTGCACACCCCCAACTGGGGATGTGCCCGCAACCAAGGTACATGCCCTTGACCGGAATCGAACCCGGGACCTTTCAGTCCACAGGCTGAAGCTCTATCCACTGAGCCAAACTGGTCCCGGTTCAACAATATTTTTTAAATGGTTAATTAATATGTTAATTAATATGGTAATATGTATATTTACCACAATTTAAACTTTAAAAAGTATTATCAAATGGAAGACCAAAATTTTTAAGTGCTTGTAGAGAACTCATGGGCTCTGAATGAATTTTTGTATAGACCCACACACCCTGCAGTCCACACTGCTTTCATCTGTTCTCCACTCTATGCTCCTAACCTGGGACCCTAAGAGTAACCTTACTCTGACTCAGTTACCTCTCAGCTCTCCTCAACACCTACCTGCAGCTCCAGCTAACTGGTGTCCACCGAACTCAACACGTATTCTTGCCTCTTTGCCTTGGCTTGTGCCTTTCCCTGACTATAATACACACTTTCCTCAGCTTGTATCATCCAATCCTTCCGTTTGGTTAAATCCCTTCTCCTCCTCACAATGAGATAGTCCCAGGCCACAGTGAGTGCCAACACTCCCCATCTAGCATTAGTTACCCATTCTAAATTGTTATTGCTTACTCTTTCAGTCACTCAACAAACACTCATTGAGCATAGGCCATATTCATGACAATGTACGAGGCCACTGAATCAAATGCTGTGCGTTCTGCTTATCATTTCTCCCATAGTCCCCGACACATTTCACAGGTGTTTGCTGCAGTGGTTTGGGTGATGTGACCTGGTCGGTACTGTCACATTCCGCATATGGACAGCAAGTTTTAAACTGCTGAAATCAGGAATAGTGTACAATCTCAGGACTTCCCTAACATAACAGGATATTGTTAGTAATGGTAATTTTTTTAAAAAATCGATATTAAAAAGCAGTTGTCACCGTAACTGGTTTGGCTCAGTGGATAGAGCGTCTGTCTGCAGACTAAAAGGTCCTGGGTTCGATTCCAGTCAAGGGTATATACCTTGGTTGTGGGCACATCCCCAGTTGGGGGTGTGCAAGAGGCAGCTGATCAATGATTCTCTCTCATCAAAGTTTCTAACTCTCTATCCCTCTCTCTTCCTCTCTGTAAAAAATCAATAAAATATATTTTTTTTAAAAAGCAGTTGTCAGTACAAGGAAGGTTTCTGAATTGAGTGCAGCAGGGACTGTGTGGTAGGGGACCCTAGACCCAATCACTGTCGGTTTCCTGGATGATGGTAGGAATGGTTTTGGTCATAAAGGTCTGTGGTCATCAAGGACATATGCTGTTTCCAACCTTCCTTTGAATACCATTTACCTAAGATAACTGCACAAACAAAATAACCTCATTCATACGCGAGGCAGTGTTGGAGTCGACTGAGTTGCAAGGACACTGAATAGAACTCGGATTTGTGTTTAAAAGCACACACATTATATTCAAGCTCTGGGTATTTTACTTACAGAACTTTTGCATGTAGCCCACTTCTTTTTTGCACAGAGATAAAATGTTATTTGTATTTGCTTAATTCTCTATTATTTCGCCGTGTCAACATGATTCCGTGCCCCCAGTCATGGCACCGTTGGTCCCGGTTACGTTGCTTTCACTCTCAGCCTTTTCTGACCTTCATTTTCTCTCTTTAGGTTCTTGAATATGGCTGTGCGGTGCAGGGTGTTCCTCCCCGAGATTCACAACAATCACCTCCCTAGAAAACGTCACTCCTTTCAAAGGTCTTCTGGTGTCATCAGTGACGGACGGGGCTGCGCTGGCAGGGATGTGTGCTCCTCGCAAAGAATCATCCTTCAGGGGAGAATGGGACAGACTGCGTGAGTGAGTATCTTGTGGACACAACCAGCCCTGCCTTTGAAAATACAGGTTATAGGTACATGGTTAGTAAGGAACAGAGAAGTGCCACTAAGTGATACAGGAAAGCTGTGATGATCCATCATTTTCGTATTTCTAGGGTTATTAAAGCCAACATTGACACATTCAAACAGCATTTGGTAACGTGTGTTCTCTCTGTGCAGCCGTCAAACCCAGAGCTGGCTGGGCCATCTTTCTGGGTCCAGCTGGGAGGGCATGTGAGTTGTTCTTTTTAGGGGGCTCCAGACATGGAGCTAAGAAGCCCCAGCGATGTCTGCGTGCTGATGTGGAAGGAGCCTAGGACTCAGAAGGGACACAGGTCTGGTCCTGAGCTAAGCCAGAGGGGAGGAATAACTTTGAACAATTCATGTCACTTCCTCATTTGTTGGATCCCTAGATGATCTCCAAGACCTCCTCCAGCTCTAAGCTTCGAGGATTCTGAGAAAAGCAGCAAAATGAGGGGGAAGTATTAAGAAAAACACAAGCCGAAACTGGTATGGCTCAATGGATAGAGCATCGGCTTGGGGACTGAAGGGTCCTGGGTTCGACTCCGTTCAAGGGCATGTACCTTGGTTGCGGGCACATCCCCAGTAGGGGGTGTGCAAGAGGCAGCTGATCGGTGACTCTCTCATCAATGTTTCTAACTCTCTCTCTCTCTCCCTTCCTCTGTGTACAAAATCAATAAAATATATTTTAAAAACACACACACACAAAAAACACACACACACACACACACACACACAAATGTAGTAATGAAGAATGAGTATAGATCTAGGCTTGTCATATGTAAGTCGTTAATAACATGAACCAACAAAGCTAAGAAGAATGGTTTAAATGACCATGGACATTGCACTCCTTCCAGGTGCAGACTTAAATCACAGCCAGTGGCATCCCTTATTATGCCTAGCCATGTTAGTGACCTCCTTTACCGTCAGACAGATTCTAAACTGCCCGTGCGAGGTGGGAAGCCCATCACCTTTAAACGTTTTTTTTTAACACCCTCAAAATCTGGCTTCTCTTTTATTTTGCCCTCCATGTCCTCTTTGTCTTTCCAGTATGTGTTCAGCATTTCTTTACTCTGTCTGTGGACAAGAATGCCAGGCTTCATGATTTGCCTTAGAGTCCTAAAATAAAATAAAATCAGCAGGGATTTAAAAATTCATGCATATTAGCCACCATTATCACACACACAAAAATGGCTTTCTACAACATTCTATGGCACAGACTTACTTTTCTTGGTCTCCTAGATTGCTTGTCTGCACATTACCAGTAAAACAATCTTCACAAAGACCTTTTTCTGTCTCTTCAGTTTTCTTGCTTTGGAAACTGAAAGTGAACAAACAAACAATTCAGAAAAAGGAAAAATCATCTTGATTTTAAGACTGTCATGGAGCTTCATGTTTAAAGAGACAATTAGCATTTCTCAAAACCCGAATGGAAAAAGTCAATCGCTACAGCATTATTATTTGATCTATTTTAAATTATTTGATCTTATTTCAAGGTACATTTGCTAGTGTGACTTGAAATCTGATCCCAATTTATAAGCATAGATTTATACCATTTATATAAAAACAGCATCAATAAAAAGAAGATGGAAGTAAAGCCAATTAGAAGGAAGATGAAGAAGATGATTGCTATGGTGTCAGAGCTCATAGGCTCAGCTAGAAGACTTATCCACTCTCGCAATCACGGTTTGTCCAAATATTCTTTTTCAGCTCAGTTTGAAAGTAGGTCTCTTGTTCTTGAAGTTTTCTAGAAACAGAAGAATAAAAGGCTGTTTTCATTGTTTCTTTGACCAGGTTTGTAAAAGATGCTTGGCTGTGTGACCGCTCAGCTCACCGCCCCTCATCCCCAAAACTATCCGAATCCAAGGAGAGAGGCACTGGAGCGTGTGGGGCCGAGCCCCGCTACCCTTTCTCCTCCCTTCAGTGACATCACAGACTCATGGAACCATTGAGTTAGAGAGGCTGGAGCCCAGCCCAACCCCACCCATCGCCTGGAGTCACAAAAACCACAGAGCTCTCCTCTGGGCTGCTGTCCGTCTGTCCCCTCCTCTGAGATGGTGGGGTGGAGGTCACCTGACACCATCTTGGCCACTCTTTGGACAAGGATTTTCTTCCTACTCTCAGAATGCCATGCTTCCTTTCCTTAACCAGAGCCTGCTAAACTTACTGCTTTTTCTCAGACCATAAACCATCAGTCCACTTCCTCCTTACCAATTCCCGCTTTGTAGCCCTGAGGCCGGTAATCACCTCACCTCCTAGTGGCATTCCCTCCAGACCTAACAGCCCACATCCTCCTCATCCCACATCAGCGGGCCTACTTGCTGGACACTAAGCACTGGCAGCTCTAGAGACTGTGGCCGAGATGACCAGAGCCAAGACGACCCCTGACCCACCCTAACTTCAGGTGAGTGTGTGGTGCCCATGACAAGCGAGGGCAGAGCTAGGGTTTTCTGAGAAAAGGAAGGTACAAAGGAGTATGGCAGCTGCTGCCAATCACATCTATGAAAGTCAAAAGGGGAGCTGAGGGGTCTTTGGGCTGCAGCGACACTGACTACCTTTCAGAAAGGCAAGGACTATGGCTTCTTTACCTTTGTATACTTTCTACCAAGTCCGGACTTCCTGACAATTGCCCCTAACTGACCTCCCCTGCTGGCCTGGTACCCCCTCCCAACTGCCCTCTCCTATAGGCCTGGGTTTCCCCCTCAACTATCCTCCCCTGCAGGCCTGGTTGCCCCAACTGGCCTCCCCTGCAGGCCTGGTCCCCCCAACTGCCCTCCCTGCTGACCTGATCACCCACAACTGCCCTCTCCTGCTGGCCATCTTGTGGCAGACATCTTGTGTCCACATGGGGGCGGCCATCTTGTGTCTTGGAGTGATGGTCAATTTGCATATTACTCTTTTATTAGATAGGACAAGGGCTTAAAGCAAACACAAGATAGGGTAGAATTTCAAGCATCAGCCAGCAGATAGGGAGTTCTCTTTGGAGCCAGGAGGGCTTTTCTGGTGGTCATGGCATCTGTTGCTTTGTGGTCAGACTGAGCAGCCTGCTCTGCCTCCCCCTCTTGCCCCGAGGCCTCTTTGGAGTAGTGGCCAAAGGATGTGCACTGCTGGCGATAGGCTCCATAGCATCTTGTGCTCCAGCTGGACCTTCATCCACATGAGCTGGTGAGGTCCTTTGACGAAAGCATGATGCTTGAATTGCAGGATCAAGATGAGGACATTCCGAGGACTCACACGTCACAGCTGCCTCGATTTGAAAACCAGGGTGAGCACAGGACCCAGTCCTGGATGGTCAGCCACAGTTCAGGGGTCAGCATGTGCTCTGAGTCATCTCAGTTAGTCTCAGTGTCAGGACATTTGCAGAAACTACCAGCACAGAGTGTAAACGGGAGGCTGAACATTCAGATGTATGAGCCAGTGCCTCTCCTTTTTGCCTTGCGGGTCTGAGTGAGGTTTATGTCTCTTGCGATCTAAGATTCCTGATCAACACGTTATATTCAACCCCATACTGCCTCCCTGACTGAGCCCTTGATTTCTAACACGAGATTCCAGCATTCCTCGCATGAGAGCCATCGAGCCCGTTCACTACCTTGTTGATCATCAGAGGCTCATCCCAGCCTCAGGGACAAGGGAAATGAAACGAGTTCCTTTTCTCTTTTATCAAATCAGCTCAGTCTTTTCCCCACCACAGCCAGTGGGCTGCTTGGAGGTCTTCTTTTAGATTTTAGAAGGCTAAATGGAAGTTGCCAAAGCTCTTTAACATCAAGGTATGGTATTTAACAGGACACTTGTATTGAAATAGGTTCCCCCCCCCCACCCACTGCATTAATGGACAGCAAATCAGATATGAGGCTTTATTGTGATGGGTCAATAGACGTTGCTGATGAAATCATGCACTGTCTGTTCCATAGTCCCTCCTGGGAGATCCAGTCTGCTCACCCTCCACCAATCCCCAAATGCCACAGTTCAGCAGAAGAGCCTGCCAACTCACTGCAAAAGATGTGTCAAGACTTTACAGCTAATATCTATTCATCTGGAATCAAAACGTCTCTGAGAGAGAAAGTGTGAGAAGCAGGGCACTGTTAATATGACACGATAACCACCAATAATTGAGTTAGTACATCCCTGACTTCGACCACGATAGACACAACATGTAAGCGCTCACCCATTCCAGGGATCATTTTAAAGTCCCCTTGTCTCATGCTTTACTGCAGATCTCAGGAGGAAGGAGGAATGCAGCATTGGGGATTCTGCCACCACTGCCCGAGCCATCATTCCAATGGTCCCACTCCACCCTTCAGGTTTGTGAAGGGCACACGGAGGTTATCTAAGTATATCCTGCCCCTGAGCTCAGAGCTTCACCATCCACTCAGTACCATGAGCCAGAAACCTGGAAGTCAGCACAAGCTTTCTCCTCTCTCTCCCTCCATCTAATCAATGACCACATCCAGCTGATGGACATCCTAATCTTTCTCCAAACCATTCCTCCTTTTCATCTCTACCTCCTGTGGCCCAAGGTCAGTCAGGATATCATTAACTCTACCAAGAGCTGCCTAACGGGTCTCCTTATCTCTGAATTCGTTCCTCTTCAATTCACCACTTAACTGAACCATCAAAGTGTTCTTGGTCAAATACAATTCCGGTGATGCTATTCGTGGCCTAACCTCTTCATCAGCTCCCCATCACCTACCAAATAAACTGTCTGGATATAGTCCTGTCTCCTTTCTTCGGCCTCAGTTTCCACCATGCTTAGAATTCTCCACTGTCCTTGGCACGGACAGCATCCTGCACCATTGTCAGCCAAGCCTGACCCCTAATCATCCCTCACAGTTCACCTAGAAGCCTTTTCTGCTCCCCACCCACCCTTTGGAGCTCTGCAGGGCTTCCTGAGTTCTACTGAAATAATTTATTCTCCTGTCTGCAGTACCCTCGATTGAGTTCCTTGAGGACAGGGGCTGAGGCTTACCTATTGTTGTATAGCCCGAGTTTGGCATCCATCCATTTGAAAAATACTTATTGAGAACCTCCTGTGTGGGTATTGTTTCATGGGCTCGGGAGGTGGTGGTAAGCCAGGCAGCAGCCACCTGCATTTCACGGCACAGACAGTCTACTTCTAAAAGACACAAGAGGCCTATTCTGTGGAATGAGCTGGTGCAAATAGAAAGCAGATCTCCAAACTCCTTTTAGTTTAGAACTTCTTCCCTTCTCCAGCCAGGCTCTGACAAAGCCTGATGGTGGTTATTGCTATCTCTTTCCGTTCCAGACCATCCTCTCCCACGCCACACTTCATGCTGCATGCCATTAGAAAGGATTCAGTCATTTTAAAAGCTGAGGAAGTAGACTTGGGGATATATTCCGTTTGAGTGCGACGGGATACATTTCTACGATTTCCAGAGACCTCCATGTACAGTGAAGTCACTGCTGGCTATCCTGGAATGGCTTCCAGGAATGATCCTTCTCCTCACTCCCCGCCACTCCCCTGATACCAGACATCATGAAACAGAGGTGCAGGGCCAGAGGCGGATAACAACATGGAAGTGTCCTACAGCACCTGGTGCTGGACATGGGAAACAGGCTTGAAGGGTTCCAAGCTGGAAACTAGTCTACAGTCCAATTCTGAATCAGCTCAGTTTCTGAGTGGATTAAGTTGCTCCAATACTGACAGTGTTCCTAGCCATCTCTCAGAAGCAAACATGTATTCTCTCGGGAGAAAAATAACATTACTTTAGGCTTCAAATTATCTCTATAATTTTTCATATACAATGACCACCTTCAAAATAAAAAATAGTCAAGCATTCAAGGAGACAAATTGATGTATTTAAAAATCAAGGGGAAAACCCCCTAAATTCTCTTGTGTTTGAGCCATTTTTGGGTTTGCAGTTAGCATTACCTTAAAACAGAATTTAGTATGTAATAAATTTAGCATCACAAGCTAGTGGATGAAAGAATTCTATTTAATACATGTGTTTATGGACACCACGAATAACTGGTTAGCCATCTGAAAGGAAAATAAAGTTGGGTCCCTACTTTGAAATAATGAAAACTTCCAAATGAATCAAATATTTAAATGGGAAAAATGAAATCATGCAAGTTCCAGAAGAAAACATGAGAGAATTTCTTTATAGCTAGTATTGATTTAAGAGAGGAAGGGAGAGGAAGAGAGAGAAACATCAATGATAAGAGAATCATTGATTGACTGCCTCCTGCGCGCCCCTTCTTGGGGATAGAGGCTGCAGGCCGACACTCTATCTACTGAGCCAAACCAGCTAGGGCTAGTTTGTATTTCTTTATTGTGAAAGGCCTTTGACTTGAACTCTAAAGTGATAAAAGATTAGACTAGTACATAGCTAAACATAAAAACTCTCTGGATGGGAACAGCCTGAAGTGGTGAGGAATCCACAGGGTGTTGGAGTTGTTTTTCTGAAGACATGCATCATATCTGGAACAAAATTAATAAAGGAGTCTTTTGTATAAAAACAAAAACAAAAAAAATCTCTCTGGATGGCCAAAATATACCATTCGCCAAGTAAAATATAAATGACAAACTGGAAAATAATTTGCTATTCATATTCACAACGAGGCAAAAAGCTAGACTCTTTACTATATAAACAACTCAGAAAATGATGAGAAAACACTAACAATCCAATATAAAAATGGACAGTAATTGAAAAGAAAAGTCTCTTCAATGTATGAAAGATGCTCAATTCATATAAAAGAAGTGCAAATCAAAATTATGCTGATACCTTTTTTGTTTTTGTTTTTTTTTGTTTTTTTCCCCCCATTAGATAGCCCAAAATCCAAAAATTTGATAATATTCTGTGTTTCTGAGGCTGCCTGGAAACAAGCCCTTCAATGCATTACTGGTGAAATAGTTAGGTGAACATACGAAAGGTGACTTGACAACATCAGAGTAACAAATCTTTGACCAAGAAATTCCACTTTGAGGAATTTATCCTGCAGATGTACTTGTATAAGAACAAACTGACTTATTATATATCCACTGTACATTATTTGCAACATGAGGTTGGAAAACACCCAAACATACATCAATGGAGCACTGGTTAAATAATTTATGGTACATCCTCAATGGATGTTATGCAAGTGTTAAGAAAATTAACTTTAGCTGAAACCGGTTTGGCTCAGTAGATAGAGCGTCGGCCTGCGGACTGAAAGGTCTCAGGTTCCATTCCCATCAATGGCATGTACCTTGGTTGTAGGCACATCCCCAGTAAGGGATATGCAGGAGGCAGCTGGTCAGTGTTTCTCTCTCATCGATGTTTCTAACTCTCTACCCCACTCCCTTCCTCTCGGTAAAAAATCAATAAAATATATTTTAAAAAAATAATTAAGACCTTAATTAAAAAAAAGAAAGAAAATTAACTTTCACACAAACATATCTAAGGGACTTATGCTAAAATGCACAGTGCATATATGTTAGCTTTTGTGTTGAAATAGGAAAAAGTCCATATTTATATTTAATTGGACAATGACCAATGGAACAAAACATGCATCGCAGAAACACTTATACATTCATAGAGACATGGTACAGGACAGGCAGCATTATAAACCAGCAGAGAAAGTATGAATGAAGCTGGGGGCATATTTAAATGGAAAAAGATAAGAATCAGATCCCCACTTAATACCATAC